GCAACTTATTATATTTTATTATGTAGTTATGATTTTAGAGTTTTACAATTTTTTTTTTTTTGGTTTTAATTGGTGTATTACTAAAGTAAATACCTATAGTATTAATAATAAAATAAAAATTGTTTAAAATCTTAATGTTTAAAATAATTTGTACTCTTGAGTAATTAAAAATTGTAGTAAAATTTATTTGTTTTTTTTTTTTTTTAAACTGATATAATTAAAATATTTTTATGTATTTATTTTTTTAAATAGAGAATTATTTGTGTTTATTCAAACAAATTTTTTTATTATTTAAAAAATTTTTAGTAATTGTAGATGCATTGAATTTTAAAAATATTTAAATTCAAAAATTAATCTATAATTTAAATGACAGAAGATTTTTTGAAATTTAACAAAAAGTGTGTGTATTATAAAATGTAAATTTTTTTTTTTTAAAACAATTTTAGTTTGTGTTTAAAATATTTTAATTTGTAAAATTATATAAAAAAAAAATATTTATTTTTTTTGTAATGTACGAAAATTAAAATTATAGTAAATTGTAAAGATAAAATTCATATAACATTTGTTGTTGCTGTTTTTTTACAGAATATTTATGTATTGTAGAAGTATAATATAAATTACACGAGTATATTTGAATAGTTTAAAAGTAAAGAGTTTATTTTGTTTTAAGAGAAAAATGTGCTTCCTTTTAAAATTATTAATTTTATTTTTAATTATTTTTTTCTTTATATTTATTATATTTGTTAGGTAATATATATTTTATATATATATATTTTACAAAAGATTTTTTTTTCTAGTGTTTGTTTTTTCTATTTTCTATGTGTATACTTAATTTTAGGCTTTTTTGAAACTTTTTCATTTTTACTTAAGTAATTTTTTTTTTCTTCCAAATTAATTTTACTAATTTATTATATTATAAATGATGTTCATATAGCTACATACAAATTTATTTGAATTTATTTTTAAATATTAATTTTAAATATAAACTTATTTGATATTTGAATTTTATTTATTTATAATATTCTCTTTTTTTTTATATAAATTTTAGGCGTCTTTGACTAATAAAATTTAAAACAGAAATAACTTAATAAAAAAATATAAAATTATTTTAAAAATATAATTAAATTTTTTTCATACATAGTATTTTTTTTTATTTTAATTTAGCTAAAGCTTATTTAAAGTAAAAAAAAAAGGAAATTAGAGCGCGTATTAATTTTTATTCTTATTTTTTTCTTGTTTTTTTTTTTTTTTGTTAGGTATGTATAAGTTATAATATATTTTGTTGAATTTTTAAAAATTTATAATTTTGTTTTACTTATACATTTTTGTTTTTATATTTTATATAATTGAATTTGTTATATATTTATTTATTTATATAAAGAATATTTTTACTATTAAGTTAAATAGTGTATAATGATCAATGCTTACTAATATAGAAATAACCAAAAAAAATATATATATTTTTTAAAAGAAAATAAATCAATTAATAATAATTAGAACAAATTAATTTTAGATTTTGTAAATAAATATTGTATTCCGGATTATGTGATAAATGTATTCAACATTTTATATTAATGTATGTGTGAATTTATATACTGACGATTTAGGAGCTAACGGATAGTATTACATTTTATTAAGAGTAAGAGGAGCTAACATCATGATACTCATTCTCAAAAGTTATACATACTAAAGATGTGGTGTAATATATTTTCACAAATAAGTATTATTGGATGTACATGGTAAATCAATACTTTCATAGTAAACTTTGCTATAATTTACTCTTATAAGTAATAAGCTTTAAAGGTTTTCGCTTTTTTTTTCTTAAACATATAGAAAATTGTATTTTAAAAAAAATTTAGCATGCTACTAGTTTTGCATGCCTCAAAAATTTTATACAAATTTTTTTTCATATCTTTTACACCTCTGTATATAATTTATTTATTTCTGATTTGATTTTAGATTTTAAGAAATTAAATGAACTTTATTCAAAGGAACGTACCCATCTAGCCAAAAAATGTGTTTGCTATAATTTGATTTTAGATCTTAAGAAAATAAACGAATTTTATTCAAAGGAATGTATTCATCTAGCCAAAAAATTTGTGTCATGTATTGGTTTGTTATATGGCATAATTATTGATACTGAAATTATTTAAAAAACAAAGAAAAACAAAATTGCAAATATACACATTAAGGAGTGAAGCTATAGGGTTACGAAAACAAAAGAAAAGAATAGATAGAATATTATCAGTGATTTTTATATGTTTTGTGTATAAAAACAATAATAATTTTGTACAAATAGATGAAACAATAAAAAATATCTTGAATCTCATTGCTAAATATAAATAAGAAAATATTGTTATAAAAAAGTTAAAATTAAGATTAGTTGAATATTAGTAAATGTATGAAATTTGTAAAAAATATGTTAAATAAATTTTATAAAAAAAAAATTATTATAAACAAAAATTTAAATTGAAAAATTAAAAATTTAACATTAAGACAAATAAGAAATAATATGCATAAACTAAAAATGTTTTGATTTATTTTTTAAATTTTTATATATTTGCGTTATTTTTAGATTAATTAAATGTAACAATTCCTCTTAAATATCTAAAATTTTTATAATACATTTTTATTATTGTAATTTAATTATTTTTTGTTTTTAATTATCAATCAGTATTTTCAAATTAAGGTATTTAGAATTTTATATATTTCTTTTAATTTCATAAATAAATTTAATTTTCACTTGAAATTTTCGTTTTTATATTAATCTGTAAAAATTTATACAATATTTTAAATTTTTTTTTCTCTTCATATTTTAAATTTTTTTAATGAATATGCGCTAAATTGTTTTTTTTTTTTTTAATATATAGTTTCATTTATTAAAATGTAGAAATTGTAGAAAAGCGATTTTTATTTATTTAATTTAATATTAATTTTTTTTTGTATTTTTTTTTCTCTTTTTTGTTATTAAATATTTATTTTAACAATTTTAATTAATTGATTTTAATATTTTTTTTCTTTATTTTTCCTTTTGTTTTATGTGATAAACATATTAATTTACTTGGTTTTTTTTTTATATATTTTTCGATTTGATTCATTTAAGATTGCTATTATTTAGTGATTATTATATAATTATTATATTTTTTTTAAAAGATATCGTAAATTGAATTTAGTACAAAATAATAATAAAAATAATAAAGATATGGGCGAATTTCATTTTAATTGTATAGGGGAGTAATCACTAAATTAAGCTGATTGTTCAATATTCAAAGGGGTTCTTTTAATAAGTTTAAAAATTTTTTAAGAATTTGACTTTCAAGTTCATAATGCAATGAATTTTTGTATGAATAATACTGTAAAGTATATATACACGTATATTTGTATTTAATTCAAATTATATAATTTTATTTTGAATAAGGAATTGATATACGATATTTTTTTTATCGATATTTAATTATTATTTGTTAGCATATATTTGAAGGTTAGGCGCCGTAGAAATAATTAGAAATCAAAAAATTTGTATTTTTTATAAATTTTGGATACTGTTATTTTTAGGCAGTTAAATAAAAAAATATTGAGCTAATGGTAAATCATTATTATAGATTAATAACATTATTCGAATATTTGTTTTCGATATATATCAATATATCCTCATCTTTAGTTTGAGCTCCTTTTAATTATATGAGAGTGTTATTATGGTTACCTAAAAATTTATTAAAAATAGTTATGGTTAATGTTTTTAATTGAATTAAATAAAAATTGCTAACTATAAATCGATTAGTATATTAAAATTTGATTGCTTATATATTATGTATTACAATTTTTAAGTTGCATTTAAATGTGATAATAGTAGATTAATTTTAATTATTAAACAAAACAATATTGCAGGTATAGGTATATATAAAATTTTATAAAAATTATGCTTGCATAAAAAACTTTTGGAAAATTATTTGTGTTTGTGAGTTTTGTATTAAATTCAATTTTCGATATCATATAAAAAATTATTTTGTTTTATTGTATAAATATTATTAATTCTTTATTAATTAATAATTAAAAAAATAATAATTAAAAATATTATAAGTATATTAAACAAAAAAACTTATATAGAAAGAAAAATATTAATTTATCTTAATAATTAAACATATATATACATATATACTATTACATATGTGTATATACATATATTTACGCATAAATATATCTGGTATATATACATGCATATATATACATATATTTTATGCATAAATTAATATAGATTAATTTATTTTTATATTTTTCTTGTTTGTTTTTTTTTTATTAAAATTTTTATAGATTCATCAGAATTAAAAAAAAATTAATTCTGATATTAATATTAAATACTTTTAATGTCTACAGCAGTCGCATTTTTTTTTAAATATTTTATATATATATATATATTATATTCATAATATTCTCATTTTAATTTTTGATGAGCTTTGAGGATTGGTTTCATTTTTATTATTATTTTTTTAGTTTTTATTAATTAATTTTTGTTTTATTAAATTAAGAATTAATTTTATATTAATTTTTTTTAAATTAAATTTATTAGTACTATATTTATTAATATTTTGTTTTTATATGTTATTAATATTATTAATTAAACAATTAATTAATAGAGATGTTTTAAATTTTTTTTTATATCTTTTTTTTTTGTTGTTTGCGAGCCTATTACCTTATATAATATCATTTTTCAAAAAATTTAAAATATACTTTTATTATATGTATATGAATTCACATATGAATACATAAATTCAAACATGCAATACATATATGCATGTATATGGGTATATATGTATATGAATATTTATATTCATGCATATGTACATAAATATATATATATATATATATATATTTATGTATGTACATATATATATATATATTTATATATATATACATATGAATGTATATATAATTCATATGTATATATATATATATATATATATATATATATATCATATATTTATTTTATATACTTACTACATCTTTACTTGACTAATATTAAAAATCTTCTATATGTTGTGTGTGTGTGTGTATTTTGTTTTTTTTTTTTTCTATTATACTCTTATTTATTTTTCTAGATTTATCAATAATGTATTTTAATTTAAAGTAGTATTTATTCTTTTTAATTATTTTATTAATTATTATTAGTTAATTTGCGGATTATTAATTGAGACTATTAAAAGCAGTCCTAAAATTAAAATTTTTACTAAATACTTGTTATCATTTTTAAAAGACATATTTCCTGAGTTAACACATTTTGTTGGCGTTGTTGGGGCTGGTGTTTGTTGTTCTAAAAATTTAAAAGAAAAAAACGGTAAATGAATAAATAAAATAATTAAATATTTAATTTAGTAATATTTTTATTTTTAATTTAGCAACTAATAATAATTTTTGTAAGGGTTTTTGTGCTATATAACAATGTTTTAAATCGCAAATTTTAACAATATTTAAATTTAATTTTCCTACTTTTTAAAGCAAATCACTCAGACTTGGAAATTAAACAATTTCGACTTTTTGTTTTATCATTAAAAAATTTCACTTCAAAATATTTTAAAATATAGACCTTTTTCTTAAAACTCTTACTTTAGGACTTCAAATACAATTTTTAGAATAAGAAAATAAATAATTCATAGCCTATTTGAAATTTATGCGGTTAAATTTGAAATTTATGCGGTTACTTTCAATGATTATAAAAATTTTAACTTACTTGTTGCAGTTATCAATTGCGGTAAATATTCTTTCCAGAATGCACATTGTCTTAATCTTGGCCCCTTACCTACATGCGATGTATTTAATCCCAATTCTAAAAATTCCCTAGTTTCGGCAGTATGTTTTGGCCATTCAGGATCATTACTATCAATTGACCCAGCATTTGGATCACTTTAAGATAATAATAATAATAATAAGAATCAGTAGTTCAAAGAATTACTTTTTTCTTCAAAAATTTATTTATACATAAATTTTAAAAATAAGATATATATTATATTAGAATACTAGATTTACCCATGTTTCGCGAAATTACTCCAATAGCGCATTATTCTTCTGGAGAATGTTTTTTCCTCTTCTGTGTATGAGTATTTTGAATTTAATGGTTCACCAAACACATAATTAATTTCATCGCCGTGCATTACACCTGTCCATCGTGGCCAAGGGTTGGATCGACTCCGGTGTGTGTACAAGTACATATAAACGTTATTACCATCCTTGGCATATCTAAATCGAATTAAATAAAAAATTTCAAACTTAATTTGTTGTTATATTAAATGCACATTATATATTTTTTATATTTAAGGATAAGTTACTGAATTTCTTATTCGCATCCTTAAAACAAAAATATATTAACTGAAAATATACGATTTGTCTGATTGCAAAACCACTAAAACATTTAAAAAATTTATATCGGTTGTATAAAAGTGCTGTAAAGCAGGTCTAGAATTCACTCAGTTTATTATATAAATTAATTGGAAATTATAATCTAAAGCACTTCGGAGAACAACAGTTTTGCCGGAACTGAGTGTTGAGAGTTAATACACTTTTGTCACTGGGTTTTGGTGTACATGACTTGGGTTTAGTCACTTACCTGTGAGCAAATTCATTTACATTGCAAGTAAAATGATAATCTCCTACCATTTTATCTAATGCATCACGATTTGTATGAACGTTATTTGGGTCATCCCAATCTGTGTATTCAAATATTATAGCCTGACGTGCTGGTGCATTCACATATGGATTTAATTCCTTGACAGCCTGTAATGTGGAAAATTGATAATGTTAGATGTTTATTTTTTGGAGGTTACGTGCAACTCTTCTAGTTTCAGTGATTGCACAATAATTCGATTCTTAAAACTTATTAAATTTATTTATTTTTTGTTTTAATTTTAAATAAAAGCAAGAAAATTTATGTACATATGTTAAATAATTATTGACGTGAATTAAATGTTGGATTGCTTGATTTGTTTTTCAAAAGTTAATTTTAAAAAAAATTATATTAAAAAAAGCCTTTACCTATGTTTTAAAAATAATCAATACCTGTAAGAATTCTTCACGAGTGACAGTAACATCTTCTTCCTTGCGAAGTAATTCAGTTAAATAATAAATGATAAAATAATAACCTTCTTCAGAATTACTTCCAGTCAATATATCAGTTTTTTTATAACGGCCATGAGCTAAAGCTTTTTGTGGGGTTTCATCAATAAAAGCACCATCAACAACAGGAACAAATGGAAATTCACATATTCCTAATGTTCCCCATTCATTGTCAACGAGAGTTTTTGCATCTTTTTCTCTTAGGCATTCAACCACTTCCGACAAATTTTCTTTACTATGAGGACATTGCACTGCTTCTGCTAATCGTAAAGCTCTAAAAAAATTTATATTTATTAATATGACATTATAAGACACACAATATATGTAAAGAAAAAAGTTGATTTTTCTGTATACCTTAAAATTGCTTCTTCACGTGAAACAAGGGCCCAAGGTGCTGTTGGTGAGCCACTCTCTAATATAGCTCTCTGAAATAGATCGTGTGACATAGCGGAAAGCAAATGCATTGAAACTGAAACCGCCCCTGCACTTTCACCAAATAAAGTAACACGACTAGGATCACCACCGAAATGATGAATATTTGTTTGCACCCATCTATTTATATTTTATTTTAAAAAAATTATGTTATATTTATGTATGTACCGATATAGTAAAGATATATATATACACTGCAAAAAATTTTAATGTAAAATTACTATAATAATTTAAGGAATCTAAATACATGCTCTCGCAAATTTATCCTTCGTAAAAAAAACTGTTCTTATAGTAAATCGTGCGAAATTTATTTTGTTATTCCACTAAAAATGTGATGTGCATTTCTTAGTTATTTGTTCCAGTTTTTACAGTGTATATATGCACATTTCAAAAATTATTGCAACAGTGACACACATTTAAATTTTTTAAATTTTTCCAAAATAATCTTTTTTTTGCGTTTTTCTAAAAATGTAGTCGGAAAACTAAATAATAAAATATATTTTTTTTTTTGTTTTTAACACTAGTATTGTGGGTTACGAGGTGTCACTATTACAATGGTGGTAATTAATTTTCAATTTAATATCCTTCTGATAAAACTTACTTTAAAGCTAAATTTTGGTCAAATAGGCCGGCATTGCCTGGTGCGTTAGGTTCGCCTAAATAAAGAAAACCTAATGATGCAACGCGGTATTGCATTGAAACTACAATAACATTTTCTTCTGCTGCTAAAGTTCTACATTCATAGTATAAAATTATATATGTATAGAAAAATTTTTATGTTAAAAATGAAACAGAATCATAGTAGTTTTACAATCTCTGGTTAAATGATAACACGCTTATTACTATCAATTCATCTATTTTAAATACGAATGTTTTAAAATGAGCTTTTTACTATGAGCTTCAATTGAAAAATGTTTGTAAAAATTGTTCATCAGAGACTGTAATTTAAGTATAAAATATGAAAATTCCTTTGGACACATAGTAAAGTATAATTCATAAATGTGAATTTTAATTTATTAATTTCTCAGTTCTAATGAAAAATTCACTATTAAAAAATAAGTAATTAAGTATTAAAAGTAAGTGCACGTATGTATAAAAATTTTGCTTCAAATTACACCATTTACTAAGGCAATATGAACAACATCACCTTTAAAAAAAAAATGACATAATAATTGCAGCCCCTTATTTTATGCATTTTTAATAAATATTTTGCATTTTTAATTCAAACTAGTAATTAAGTTGACGTACAATTTTCAATTTTTGAATATTTCCTTCAAAGTGTCTCAATATTTTTTTCTCTTTTGTCGTTGCTCCATATTAGTGTTTTTTATCTTACTTTAAAAAAAAAACTAATGCAATATTAAAATTATTATAAAATATTAAAAAAATTTTCGAAATTTTCATATTTCTTACTACAAAAATTCAATTTACATTTAATGTTATACCTGTGATCATAAACATCTAATGTCGCCGTTCCAGAATAAAAACCACCACCAAATATCCATAGCATAATTGGTAAATTTTTTTGCCTAGGTCTAGGCACTACAACATTTATATAAAGACAATCTTCTGATAATTGTGTATTAGGATTCCACATTGTTGCTCCAGGAAAATCACCAAAAACAGTATCCACAATTTGAACACATGTATTTGGTGGTGAAGTTGCATTCAATATACCTGACCACTTTTCAATTGGCCTTGGATGTCGAAACCTTAATGGACCAAGAGGTGGTTGAGCATACGGTATACCCAACCATGCGTCTACTTTTTTACCTGTTGGAGCTACTAATGTTGTACCCATTATTTTACCTTTATCTGTTTGTATTAATAGTGGATTCTCTTCAAATTCATTATTTGATTCACGTCGACTTAAACCTCTTCTTCTTTGATGTGAAATCTGTGTTTGATGTAATATCTCATGCTCATGCTGATGATCAGCTGATTTTTCCAATGTACCTAATTCGGGATCAACTACACGAACAATTTCACCATGGCCTAAATATGGTGTAAAAAATGCATCTGCAAAACAATTATTTTTACATACACCTTTTCTCAACATTAATTATGTTAACCAGTGCTCAAAACTAATAAGGTGTGCATAAAGATAATTGCTTATTCGGCTTGCTAATGCTTACCATCATCCTTTGCGATACCTGATGACGATGATAGTGATGATGAAGGGGATGACAACGATGATAATGACGATGATGATGATGCTGACGATACGGATGACTGTGACGAGTATTTTTGTTGCCCTAATGAATTGTAGTGTTTTTCAATTTCACTATCACGTTGATGTTCATGTGGCCCAATTAACATTGAACTATCTGCTGCTGCAGCTGCTGCAGCCGCAGCAGCTACCGCCGCTGCCGATGATACGTCATGATGTCTTGCATCTATAAGGCGTCCAACAGTACCAAATATACCTAATGTGCATATTAACAGGTGACCAACGTTGCATGGGCGATATGAATAGCCCAAAGCTCTGTTTATCTCCATGGTGGAGAAATCTAAAATAATTAAAATATTGGTAAGTTTTTCAATGTATAGAATTTTATATAAATTTGAATATTGAATATTATTTACATATATGTATGTTTGAGATTCGAGCTAATTAAATCCAAGTTATGTTAAGAATTTTGCTTTTGGCAAGAAGAATTTTATGAACTTTAAAGTGACTATACAAAATTTACTTACATATTTCCCGGGTTATAAATAAAAATGTAAAACTGAAATAATTGTCAGAAATTTCAAATTTTAGGTCTCATAACTCGAGAAGGAGAGTCCAAAAAGAAAAATGCCACTAGGTGTGTTTTGTTCATCTGGAGGCATTCTATAATCTGATTGGGGAGTATTTTTCGTATAAATACACAATTTGGAATTATCTATCTACAAATGTAGCTATTATTTTGTTATTATATGTATAATTCTAGGTAAACACACACCAGATTGTAATATAAGTATACTTTTATAACGTGTCGTCATTGCACTGCGGATTAAACTGATTCACAATTTTTATTAAAATATTTAATTTAGATTTTAATGAAAATTTTAAATTAAAAACAAATATTCTATAGCCAAATCTAGGTCACTTTTGTAATATGTACCCAATATGTAAGTGTATATACATTTATTTAAATTTTATCAGGTATTTACGAAAATTATATAAATATGAATTTTCATTTAAATTTATACTAATATCTTGTAATATGCAAATATATTATGCATATACATATACAGGGAATTCCCAACTTTCATTTTAATTTAGCATCCCGACCTTCATTTTAATATAACATTAACTTCGCTTGATTCAGATAACTTCTCTTGAGTTACGAGAAAAGCAAAATGTCGTTAGGTATTTTGTGCTCGTCTGGATGTATCTTATCACCTTTGCTTGTTTCGAGACTTAATCACTCTGTATGTACATACATATGTATATAATATTGAAATGATTATACGTTATTACGTTTATTATAGATTTTTGGAAAGAAGCAGGAATAATAATATCATAGATTATTTTATTAATTATTTATTGTTCGTAAATTTGTATATTATTTGTAAGCAAATTAATGTGAATTTATTAAAAACGTAAAATGTAGTTGCTCGATGTTTTTACAGGATTATATTTTAGTTTTCATATATGAATACTTTATTGTTCATTGATTCTATTTTAGATAAATTTTGAATGAGTTGTTTTAAAAATAATTGACAAAATTTAGAAAAATATTATTATATTTATTTTTTTAATAATATTTTATTTAATCAAAAACTATTTAGTATTACAAATTATTAAGAAATACAAATTCAAGGCGAACAAGTAACGTGGTATAACCTAACGGGGGCAGAAAGGTGGATTTTATGAATAATATCGTTCGGCCCAGCCCAGAAGTTATATCCAATTAGATCGACACACCATTTTATCGGAACCAAAACATTTCAAGTGGGACTTTGATTTTTTATTTGGGTTAAATATTCATTCAAAAAAAACTCTTTTTGTTCAAGAAACATTTTTAGGCAGGAATATTGTCAACTATTAGAAATCGAAATTTCCTTCACTTATAGTTTTGAAAAGTAAAATTTATACAAAAATATTTTAATTAAAATAAAAATTAGTTTTTCATATGTATGTATGTGGATGCATATATTTATAAAATAATTTCTAAAATGCCTAATCAATATAAATTATTATTCATATATATATAAACATATTATACAACTTACCGAATGTCAACATTTACCAATGACTTTTAGCTTCATATTATATTTCCTAAAATTTGAAGTAAAAACTCCCTACTAGCAGTTTCGATGTTACTTCTGATTATATGACAATTTGTTTGTTTGTTTTTTTGATGTTTCTGTTGTAAAATTTTGATTTGAAATTGAAATTTGTTTTGCTCGGGGGAATTATTAGTCAAATTTTATTCTGAAATATAAAATAAAATAAATTATAAGATTTAAATAAAATATTAATAAATTAAATATTATTTTTAATTAAAAATTTTTAAGTAATGTTTTGAAAATGAAATTATCACGTCCATATTTTACGTAACTATTTTTTATTAAAATTTAATTATTTGATTTGATTAGTTTCAGATAAAATGTTTTTGAAATTGAAATTTATTAAATGTCGTGTATTCAATTTTGATTATATTATATATTTTGACTAAAATATATATTAGTTTTGGCAAGAATCAGGCGAAAATCGTCACTGAGGTCTTGTCGGGCTATTGCAGACTTCAAAGGGGGCACCTTAAGTGGCTACGGAGAGAATAACTAGATATCAGTATACCTTCTGGGAGAGTGTGATGCTGTCGCTGTTAAGAGTAGCGAAATACTGGGGGGTTCTGCTCTCACGGCGGTGGTGTTGCAATCTTCTGAGCCACACATAGTGCTTGAGTTTATCAGGAGATAGGCTATCGCGCGGGTGCTGTATGACATGCCCAGCATTTAGAGAGTGAGCACAATAGATTCTTATACGTGATCGTGGTGCACTGTTATACCACATGTATTAGTTTTGCATAAAATTATATATGTTCATAAAGTTATACATTTTTATTACATTGGATGCATGTAATATATTTAATTTGCATATATCTAATTTCATAATACAATGTTATAATTGAAATATTATAAATTATTTTTTTTGAACACTAAATTCTGAATAATTTAGGTATGTCTACAAAATGAAATTGCAAAATTAATTTGATATTTCAAAGTGGTTAATGAACTAGTTGTAAAAAGTATTCTACATTCATTTACATATATATATATATTTACTTTAACACATTACATTAAATTAACACTTACGTTTTTATTAAATAAAATTAAAATTCTTGTTTGCCTTTTTTTTAAATTATTTATTTTTACGTTTACAAGTTACATATATACATATGTATATATGTAAATATAATTTTAAGTAAATAATTTTTAAAAAATGCGAAAGAATAAAACGATTTTTTTTCAATATAATTACTAAGCAAATAGTTTTTCTCAATTAAATTAAATTTAGAAATAAAAATTTCAATTCAATTGGAGGATTTTTAATGGTAGCATTTCATTATAGAAAAAGTTCTGATGTGGTCATCACATAACCGATTACAATGTATATTGTCTAGATTAGTAAAAGTATTCCTGAACATTATGAAAATGCGTTTTAAACACTTCTCTTCTTTACAATTTTAAGGACACTTTAACAGCTCGAATTTAAATATTAAATTTCAAGGAAATCGGTTGATTATTTCTCTTTATATACGAAAAAATTCATATTGGCAGTAGTCCCGTAATAAACGTCCAGTTCCTGACACCTGATTTCTTCTAAAAGTTAAGAGGCTTCTCTCACGGTCGAATGAAGCTTATAAATGAAACTTCAAGCAAATCTATTAAATATTTTCTACAAAATGATTGAAGATGCAAAAAAGTCCAGTTTCCAAGGCCTGACCAATTACGAGGCCCAAAAGTTTATCAATCCGTGGCATTGTCGAAAAAAACTCACATTTAAAATTTCATGAAAATCGGTTCAGCCGAAATTGAGATACACGCGTAAAAACACAGATAGATAGACCGACAGACCGACAGTTCGACAGACAGACGGGCAGGTTGCTAAAAATAGTTTATTTACACTTCCCCACCATGGCGAAGTGCGTTCTTACCGAAAACTCGATATGCAAAATTTGTTGCCATCACAGAACCTACCTTATTGTATACACAATGCGGTCGGTAAAAAAGTGAAATAAATTTTTTTTTTGCATTTTTTATATGCATTTGCGTCAGTCATTTTTGTCAAATGTTAATTTTCATTATTTGTTTGATAAGAGCAAACAAATACTGTCTAACTTTAGAAAAGCTCGATATGTCACCATAGCCTTTTTTAACACTTTATATGTATTACACTATGTATGTGAAGATATTTTTATGTGTGCGAGGCATAAATTAAACAGGGAAAAAAATAAGTGATGTGGCAGATTTAATTCCAACACTTTGTTTTCTTTTTTTTTGCTAAAAAATGCACTTTGAAGTTATAATATTAACCTTTTTTTCAATTTTAGTTCATTTTGAATATCAATTAGAGTGTAATACATAATATACATAGATACACATTTATATGAGAAGTATTTTAGATAGTGTAAGAGAAAATTAAAAGTTGCAGTTTCAGATTAATCATACGCTGTTTAATACTTGTAATAAACAAAGTAAATGTAATGCAATTAATATTCAACTTTTTAACCCATTAATTTTATAAACTAGTACAATATAAACGCACTATCGGAGATAAAATTCTTACTTCATCGTGCTTTTATATGTGTATAAACACGTGAATAATATGTGAGTGTAATTTACAATTTTGTCAGTTATATACCAAATTTAATTACCAAAGTCAATATTACAAAAGCCCAAAGAAATTATGCAGACCTAACAATGTAGATTATTTGTAATAAAATTGTTTCGAACTTATTTAGTTATTTCATTGAAATAGTTTTAAAAGGTTCAATAAAAATTTGTGCATTTTGATAGTATGCAATTACCAAATGTGCTATTTTTCGTATACAATGAATACATACTTTGTGCTAGAAATTAATTTTTCTTCAATAATTAAAATAAATTTTTTACTTGAGCAAAAGCACGATATTTTGGGCCTAATCTTGTATCTCGTTATTTTACTCGCGAAGTGAGAAGAAAGTGAGTAACTAATGTAATTTTCGAGTGAAAGGAATTATTCGATATTGCGTATCTTTTTTAAATTTATTGACTTTGTTATTCAAGGATAAAACGTTCAGTCAATAATTAATTTGAGAAAAAAATGAAAAAATCCAATTGAAAAAAATCAGTAATCTTATTGGAAAAATGAAATATCCATTAGAAAAATGGAAAATTCTGATTTGAAAGTAAATAAAATGTGAGATGAAAAGGCGAGATACACGATTAGGCTCCTTTATTTATCTTTTTACGACCTTTTATTTACGTGTTACAATGTTTCATAGAAGTACATTAACGTGTACTTCTATTTATTGCATACTTTTTGGATGAAAATAAGAATAAATTTATTACAAAAATTATAAATATAAAAAAATTTAAATTATACTTTTTTTTTTGTATTTGTAATTTGCAATTTTCTTAATTTTAAATAATATTATAGATAAAAAAATTATTTTAACAAAATAAAGCATTTAATAGTGTCTATAATCTTGACAAAAATTTATTTTGAATAATATTTAAAATTAGCAATACATAAAATTTAAAGATAAAAACATAAGAGGACTGTGAATTTCATGGATCATTTTATCGTAGTGATGTTCGCTTATGTTCGTAGTGATTTTTTGTAGAAAGTTGGTAGATATTTTTTTTTCTAAGATAACTCAGAAATCATGAACTTATGCCTTCTAAGCAAATAAGTGTTGTTTTAAAGATGGCGTTTCATACGTATATGCAAAGAATGATATTAAATTAAAAAAAAAATTATGTCGTTGTTTAGGTAACAAACAGTTTGCAAACAAAGTATTCCAAAAGCATAGAGAAGGTGTGCTATAACAACTCTCCCAGATTTATGGAAGTATATAATAGATAATTATTATTTTCTTTAAAATAACTAAATTTTTTAACGTAGAACGAACCTTAATATATACACGTTTGAATATAAAGAATATTAAAGTAAAAATACTACAAACAACAAAATTTTTTCTTTTTTTTTTTAGCAATTACAAGGATCGTAAAATTTTTAAAAAGAAAGAAGTTTAAATCCTCTTTAATTTTTTTTTGTCTACTTTAACGAACGAGTCTTCTCATATAATGAAAATTAAATGTCCTCTTTTATAAAAGTCTTTATACCAAAAAAAAAAAATTAAAATGAAAAAAAAAAATAATACAACTTCGTCGAAACCATGAAATTGAAGGACTCAAACAAAAAAGAGAAATTAGACAAAGAATGACGATCAAGCAGGAAAAGTAAAATTTTAGATGGTCACTTAAAAATGGTGAAAATGGTGAATTTTTTTTTTGTACCCTCTTAATCATTTACTGATGTTGAAAACAAGCTAAGTAATGAATAGGAAAGAAGAGAAGAAAAAAATTTATGAAAAAAGTTTATTTCGATGCTAACTTAATTTTCAAGAAGTTTAAAATTTTATACTTTATCTCAGTTTTTCTATATTCGTTGTGCTTTTAAAATATTGTGGGAAGGCTTTTCTTTTTTTCTTCGGAAAAAAAAAAACAACAATTAGAAATTTTTTTATTAAAATAAAACTTTATTTTAATTAAGCGGCTTCATGATAAAAAATAATATTAAAGGGTAACAAATATTTTTAAAGTAAAATCAGATTATTTACTTAGATTTGAATATTGTGTATAATTGCCATAGAAAATATTTCATTGAGTTAATTTATTTAAACTGCTAAAGATAAAAATAGAACAAGAGTAAATTAAAAAGAGTAAAATGTAGTCTATCAAATCCAAGGTTTTTAAAATAGCACATATTCCCCCACAATAATTTACCCGATAACTTACATATATTGTCTTTATACCGTGCGTAATGTTGAATAATCTTAGATTTCACAAATAATAATCATCTTTCTGTTTTTGAAAGAAATTGTCATTGATTCGGACACAGTAATTAATCACAAATTTTCGTTTTCATGACATTGCCGAATTATCGCACCTGAATGAAAGATGTAATACGAAAAAATTAGCTCTAAATATAGACGAGTAATATGTCAATAAATAACATGTAGTATTTATTTTAGTATTTTTTTTTTGAAAATATAAAACTATTATAGTAAAATGTATTTTTGTGTGGGAAAAAACTTTTATACATGAGTTAAAAACAACTTACGAATTTTGTTATATATTTTGTTATAAAAATAGAAAGCTATATATATATCACAAATTTATGGGAAATACTCTTTTCAATTGCTCTCTTAATCAAATTAATAA